GCTTAGTCATCTGATTTTCGGGTTCAAGGTGCCAGTATCTGATTCTCTCCCCGCACACGGGTTGCAGAATATTCTTGAAAGGCGTCATTTGTCTGTTCCGAAGGATCAGATAAGTGTCGGCCGTTTTAAGTGGGGTGTATCGTAGCTCGCCAAAGCTCGCCTCGCCGTTCAGAGCATGTGAGTGTAGGCAAAAGCCTGAAGGGCATTGGACGCATCTTCGGTGTGCCTGGGATAGTTTTGTAAAGCTCAGGCACGCCTCGAGGTAGTGGTCACGTCGGTTACAAAAGCTGCTGAGCAGGACGGATGCATGAATGAAGCAGCCATGAAGCAGTGCATTGCTAGAGCTTCTCAGCGTCTGGTCGAAGATCTAACTTGGCAGCCCTCAGCTTTTCCGTTGCTGTCAAGATTTCTCAGCTTTCGGAAAGTCGTTCCGGAATTTGGGGGGCACACCTTGCCGCGATCATGGATTTCGCTCATCATCATGACGGCCGGATACTCCATGCCGGGCATTCCCATGACATGGAGGGAGTGGACATCTCCGACGGTGACCCCGGCTTCGCACTACTCCTAACCCTGCTCGCCGGCCTTGCCACCACGATCGGCGCAGCCATTGCGTTCTGTGCCAATACTGACGACAACCGCGTGTTCGCGATTTGCCTGGGCGTGTCTGCTGGGGTCATGGCGTATGTGTCCTTCTCAGAGATCTTGGACATGACGAATCAGAGTTTCCAGGATGCAAACCTCTCTGAGCGGAGTGCTTTCACATTCGGGACACTGACTACCTTCGCAGGGATCCTCCTCGCCATGCTGGTGGAGTTTGTCGGCATGAAGTGCTTCCACAGGCATGCCGGCGAGGTTGTGGTGAGTGACGCTCCCGAGCCGGAAGCGCAGGACATGGCCGGAGAGAAGCCCCTCAGCAAGTCCGAGCGGTTGAACATGTTGCAGATGGCGACATTCTCAGGAATCGCTGTGGCATTGCACAACTTTCCTGAAGGCATCGCAACCTTCATTTCGACAATGGCTGATCCCAGCTTTGGGCCGGCCATGGCTTTCGCCATCGCGATGCACAACATCCCCGAAGGCCTGGCTGTGGCAGCGCCCATCAAGAAGGCGACGGGCTCCAAGTGCAAAGCGTTTTTCTGGGCTTTCGTTTCCGGCCTCTCCGAGCCCCTGGGCGGTCTGTTGGGATGGCTGGTTCTCAAGGACGTACTGGGACCCGCCACCTACGGCATCTTCTATGGCCTAACCGCCGGGATCATGATCCACATCTCCTTCAAGAAGATGCTGCCGACCGCCCTGAAGTACGACCCAAACAATCACTACACGTCCTACTCCTTCTTTGCCGGAATGGCCCTGATGGCAATCTCCCTGATAGCCTTCAGATGGGCTTAGTCATCTGATTTTCGGGTTCAGGGTGCAAGTATCTGATTCTCTCCCCAAACACGGGTTGCTTCTTGAAAGGCGTCGTTTGTCTGTTCCGAAGGATCAGATAAGCCAGCCCCCCTTCTCTTTTGGAGCTTGGCCGTGCAGAGCACGAGTGCAGCCAAGCGCACATTCGGCGTGTCTGACCTTTTGGAGTTGTAGAGCAGGACGCGCCCCCTGGGTGTTGATCTAGGTTGCTGCTTAGGTGGCAAAAGTTGCAGAGAAGAGCAGATGCATATATGAACAAGTTCGTTGGAAGAGCTGCGTGAAGCCTGACGAGGGCCGGCTTACCCTCTGAGAATACTTCTTGAGTCTAGAGCGTGAAGGAGCAAACGTTTTGGGCAGCGGTGCTAGACCAATTCCACCGGTCAGGATCTCCGAGGCCTCGGTGGACAGGATTGGGATTGCCAGGGTTTTGCTTGAACATGTCTTGTGAGTTCGTGGAGTTGCTGCTTGAGGTTTAGCATTTTCTATGCTCTATCGGCTCGCCCAGAGATACGGCAGATACGGATGAGAGCAGCTCTGCTCGATCACAGTCAGCCCTTCATCGCACAAGCGCCAGAAAGTCCGAAAGCCTTGAGCTCGAAATCTCGTTGTTTGCCAGAGGTCGACGGATGCCCAAAGCATGACCATGACGGTGTCAAGCTGCAATCAGGCTCCCGGACTGGCAGAGGGGTCCGGGGTGCCTTTGCAGATGGATGCTTTACTAATTTACTGATTCCGAGTTCAGGAACAAGACTGTGCTCGTTGTTGTGGGAATGGAGCTGGCAAACAAGACCAGGCGTCTGGCGAACAAGCCTGCAACTGCCAGGCTCAGCAGTGGCACCGGGGGCTTCTTCTGCGCATCGGCAATGAGGTGGGCTCTGGTATGTTGCAACATGGACCTTTCCAGCTATGATGCAGCAATGAGGCCCTCCAAATCTCAGAAGCCTGACTAGAATGTGGAGGTTGTGTTTCTGTTAGTGTCCTTCTACAGGGGGGCTTCTTAACTATGACGCTATGACGGACTATACTTTTCAAATCTATTAAGGGCGACATAGGATATCGTGGACCAGCTATGGCAATGCGAGCTAACTCAGCATGGCAGCATATCCTCTTAGCGGTTTCTCACTGTCACATGAGAAGTTTGACCAGCAGAGATGTCAGGGATTGGGGCAGAACTGAATCCTTCGGAAGCCTTGTGTACTTGGATTCTTTGATTCCTGTTGCAGAGTGTCCTGAGAGTCACTAGCAGCTAGCAGCTAGCAACCTAGGAGCCTCATGCTGCACGGTGCTGTGACAGGAGGCATGGAACGAGTACTGCTTCAATGCAGCGATGAACGGCTCCCAGGAAAGGCCGATCGGGCGGCTCATAGTTCGGTCGGGTCTTTGTGTTGTGTCTGACCTGCGCTTGGAAGCGAGTTCTGTCTGAGCTCGGAAGCCATCTCCTGGCTTTTGGGGTGCAGGTGGCCTCTTGTGGGCGCACTGTTTCTGCAGATGAAGGAGAGCCGAGTCCCCCCAGTGACCAGGCTAAACAGCGTTTGTGATCTGGGTCATCAGACCTTAGAGCCCGGTGGCTCTGGCATTTCCGTCTAGCCGGAGAGCAGGATATTGGAGATTTCCGGTTGTCGTTGGAGGTCTACACCGCTTGTAGCAAGCTACTTTGGCTGACAGGCGGAGCGAAACTTGCCCTGCTTGTACCTCCACAGATCTCACTACATATTTCCGTCTCAGCACCTTAATCTGAAGAGTTAAAGGCTAGGCCAGGTATGGCAAGACAAGATGTAGGCGAAGAGTATTGAAAGTAGGGGCCGGTTAGAGCGTCGGGCCGAGTCGGGAGCATGATGATGCAATGCAGAATAAATTGCCAACGCCTCTGTTTACGCTGACAATGAGAAGGTGGCGGCATCGACCCCACAGACAGTGACATATATCCTTGAGTACGAATGTTCAGGGTATGACATAGAACTAGAAAACCCAGTGGGTATGTGGACGGACCTGCCAATGGTGTATGCAACATAAGCATACATCCAGGTCATGCTTCACTGTAGGATATAAGGCCATCTTGCAAGACGACATGGAATCCAAGGACGGTGCCTCGATCAGTATTATGGCCACCTCACTGGTACAGGCAGGTGGCATGTTGTGCCAAGCTTTTCGTTGCATTTCAACGCCCATATTGACAATGATGTCACGAGTTTGTAATGCAACATGCTGGGCCACGCTACTTTCTTGGGCGGCCGCCCCACTGTTGCGGCTTCTGCTTCTGGGGATCACGGCTCTCGCGAACACCAATCGAAATGCGCCTCGAGGTTTAATAAAGATTCAGCCTAAAGCTGTTGGCGTCTACTTCGTGTCCAACTTAAGAGCCCCTCCCCCTTGAACCAGTTTGCATCCCCTGATGAATCCTGCTTTCACATGCTCGTCGCTTCCTGCCAGGCTGGCCACTGGCGCTCGGCGCTTCAGATCCTCGAGCCCTCGCCTTGCACCTCCGTCACTTTCCACTCAGCCAGGGACTCGGAGGAAGCCTTGGCTCGGGTCTTCAGAGTCTTTGCGTTCGCTAGCATACATGGTAGCATGTCTGAACAGAGACTTCGCATCAACATATTTCCGGACATCGCCAGTTTCACAGAACCTATTCATCAAACATCAAGCATCGCCCATTCTGTCTTTCTTAAGCTGCCCCTCCCACACCAAGATCATGCATGCACTCGGCGAGAATTCGTTGTGGGAATGGGCGCTGCTTCTGCTGCGCTCCTTGTGCCGCCAGAGCCCCATGTCCGCAGAGCCAATTTCTGGCGATCTGCCTTTGCTCTGAAGGTGTTTTGCAGGTCGAGCGGACTTTTAGTTTGTCGTGCCGCCGGTTCAGGTTGCTTTGTAGCTGCAGCGGGGTTCGGGAACGAGTGCTGCACGTGGCTGTGCTTAGTGGAGCCATTCGAGCCTCTTCTCGGAAGCCGTGGTGTCGCAGCATCAAGCTTGGCTGGAGTCATACGAAAACATTAGACACAGAAGCCAAAGCAGCCCTGCAGACGAGGCGGAAAGCTAGGTCTTCGAGCTTCGGAAATGAGTTTTAGTGTGGCCAGAGCCTCAGCGGAGAAGGCGCGGCTCCTTGCTTTACGTTAGACAGGATGAAGCGAGAGAGGGGGTGAAATGCAGGCGGCGGGAAGACTGCGATAAAGAGCCTGGAGACGATGCGTACATTAGAAGACACAAGACAAACCACACGCATGAAAGGATAAGACGAACCGAAGTAGAGACCAGGAGGTATAGACTCAGAACACAGACACTGTAGATTGTTGTCTGCTGAGACGTTTGACCCTGATGCAACCCCAGCTCTAGATGCCAGATTCCACCTGGCTATGAAGCCCGCGCTCTGCCATGATAAATGAATGGATTATACAGAAAGCTATCCTGCTCCCGAGGCCATGGGTGCCTGCCAGCACGGGGCAGTGTGGCTCCATGGCTGAGTTTCATGTATGTGCTTTCGCGGTCAGCGTTTCGGATTCAGGATTTGAGTTGGCCTGGTGCCAACACAAAACTGGTGGGCGGGTTGAACATTCCCAGAATCCGTTTTTAACAGGCTTGTTGATCTTGCTGCCGCGAAACCCACCCTGAGCACGTTTGGAGTCCGGTCCGGAAGACCGGGCATAGGCTGTTAGGGTCTTTGCCACTTGGGGCCGAGAGAAGATGCTCGCTGCTGCTGGGAGCATAGAATGCTACGCTACTGCTCATGATCTCCGGCTCATCGGAGTGCATCCTTCTCACGAGCTCCAGTTTTTCGGCCAGGCGTGGCGATGCACGCATTGTTCCAGGGTTCTGAAGTTGCATCACACGGTTCACGGGCTCGCCATGCATTGGAGCCGCTTTTGCCACTAGTGTCGTCGTTAGGTTCGCACGTGCTAGAGTGCCAGAGCGCTGTAATTGAGTGGTAAGAAGAATTCGGTGCAGCTACAATTCCCGAGACTCCGCGCCACGCCTTTACCCTGGAACCTGATGTGCCAAGACAGCGAGAGCTTCCCACGCCTTGAAGCCAGCAGAACTGCCCCTCAGCCAAGACCGCCCCTACGGCATTAAGGTGTCCTCCGCTCTCCTTTGGCCATCCTAAACCGAAAACTGCCCTAAGGCCTGACATCCCCGACGCCCCAAACGTCCAAGGCAAGGATCCATGGACTTGCTGGGCCAGGTTTGGCCGAACACACACGGGGGAGCATTTGGGTACTTGTGTTTCCTGAAGGTTGGGGATCCCAAAGTCCAACTCCCCATGGTCCGAAGATGTCCAAACCTTGAGCCATGGCGTGGTGAGGCGATGTGCACCGTGGGGTGTACGAGCACGATCACCTGGAACCCAGCCTTGGGTCTTTCGTCTGCATCCGGTTCGCGATATTGATATGGCATTTATTAATTAAAGTGGACCCCCGCCACAGTCACTGCCCTGAGGCGCTTGTGAGCTGCAGGGCCTTTGGCAGCGGAGTTTGGCCGCTTTGCAGCGGATGCCGGGGATGCGAAGCCGAGCCCGAGCAGCGAAGGCCTGCGCTCGCGCCTCGGCCTGGGCCGCAGGGCTGGTGCTCGGTTGGGGCCAGGAAGGCAAGCCGCAGGAGCCACAGCAGGAGCCACGGCAGGAGCCACGGCAGGAGCTACGGCGGGAGCCTCATGGGCCTTGGGAGAGGATGGCGAGGCTTTTGGGCTTGGGCTTTCAGGGCTGCCCCCCATCACGCGCTCGGTGGCAGACGGCTTTGGAAGCGCTGCAAGCCGGCCGGCGGAGGCATATCGAAGTGGATCAGGTCGATTTCAACGCGGCGGTCAGCGCTTGCGAGAAGGATGTCGACACTGTTGAGCCGTCTCCGGGCACAACGTGGCGGTACGTGCTGTGTTTGCTGGACGAAGCGGAGAAGCACACCAGGCCGGACTGCATAACTTTCAGTGCAGCTATCAGTATCCTAGACGAAGCGAGATGGTGGAAGAAGGCCTTGGCATCGTATGATGGCCTTTTGAGCAAGGCTGTGCAGCCTGGTGGAGTGACCTTCAATGCTTTGGCTGGCACGCTGGAAACGGCTCGGCACTGGCCTGAGGCCCTGCTACTATTGGAGGCCATGGACGTCGGCAGGGTCTCGCCAGACAACATCTTTTTTGGGGTGTTGCTGAAGTCGTCCTCAGGTTTCATGCCTGCAGACCAACTTTGGGCCCAGATGCAGAGCCGTCGCATTGCCTCGGATGCCGTCGCCTGTGCATCAGCAATAGAGGGATTGGTGTTGGACATGAGGGTCATGGACAGCACCAGCATGATGCCGACACTGCAGGACCTGGGCATCGAAGTTCTGCACGAGCGGTTGAAGCGAGGGGCTTGAACAACTAAGGCATCCACCCCGGTGCAAAAGCGGTGCCAGGAAGCTGCCGGAAGATCCTGATATCGATCTTGCCCGAAGAACTTTTCAGAGTAAAGTTGGGGCATAGAAATTTGTTAATTTGGTGACCTAGCGCTGCATCACTCATACAGTTCCCTTTCCCATTGCTCAAAGATTTCATAGCCCTCCTCATGTGCCACCCCAGAAGATCATGTCGGAAGATGCAGACTGGCCTAAAGATGGTTGCTTCTGCCGCAGCCATTTGGCCGAAACGAAGGGAGCGGCTTGGCACTGTGGGGGCTGCAAACTGCTAGCCGCTAGCCTCCAAGGCCTGTTTTACGATGTGTAAAATGGCTTTCCAACTCCTGACCAACTGCGAGCTTTCACTTCTACCCAACCAGGCCCAGCCACGACAAGCGCAGAGGCATTCATAAACGTAAGACCAGCCCTTAGTAGCTTCCGCCAAAGCATGCCTCGCCGAGCACGGGAGGAAGTGGGGTGCTGAGGCTAAAGGAAAAATGGCCCCTGCTGAATCCGAAAGATGCCCTGTTCTGAGGTCTCTGTGCTGCGGAGGCCGGACCATGCGGTACTGTCGGGTGCTGCTCTTGTGATGCGGACTCGGTCAAGGTAGGGCTTCCGGATTCGGATTGGATCCGCTATGCAAATTCATTGCTCAAGGGGCCGACAAGCGGACTGCATCGAAACTTCTCCATCATGTTGAGTACTACACTACGACTTTGAACAGATGTAAACAAGCTCAGAAGATGAGGAGTCGCATTCTTGGCATAGCCTAAGGGCCGCAAAGCACGGAGCCATGGCCAATGCACCGATGCCTTCTGCCATTCTGTATTCGGCGCTTGGCAATCCGAAGGACGGCTTTCCAGGCAGCAGGGGGCAAGGGGGCATCTGAGGGTTCGAGCACATGGCGGACTTGCGGCTGGAGGTCTTTCAGCCTTATCCGGCTTGTTGTGGGACAGATTACCGGCGTTGGAGCTGAGAGAGTCATGCGAGCAGGTCGTGATAATTAGGTAGAACTCTGCTTCTGACATGTTCTCCGTGCATTACCTTCCTGGCTTAACTCCAGGCTACTGCGCTTCTCATCCGCCAGACTGGATGCCAGGCTGCACAGTGCCTCCCCGCCACTCCCCAGTTTGCTGCAAAACCGAAGGCCCTGGCCCTAGTGGCCCTAGTGCCCACGCATCAGCTTCTGTCAAGCTGAAGAATTTGAGCAAATGACTCCCACCTTCCCATCAGGAACGAAGGCTGCAGTGGCTTGTCACAACATGAGCCTGCAGGCCCAAGCCCCCCCAAAAGAAACCTGAGCTTGAAGCCTCAGGACCGGAACCCAATGCAAGTCCTGGCCGGGTCGTCATCCCGAGGATGGTGAATTGTACTTGCTGGGTGTTTCTATTGTTCAAGGGTTGAGGTTTCTCAGCTTACATACGTGTTTGGGATGTAAAGGGGTGGTGTAGAGGACCGCTACAACAAACATTGCTGATGTTTTGTATGGGGTGTTGAGTTCGAGTGTTCATCTTCGATGGTCTCTTCTGTGCCTCAGCGGTTGATTTCTGCAAAAGTCGTTCGAGATCTCTGCTAGTGTTCTTCCTTGACGTCCAGTCGTTTGAAGTAAACCTGGACCACAATCTGGTACGTTTCGGGAATTTCCGGTCTTAGGGTCTGGGTTTTACCAGCGTGTGTGGGAGATTCTGTTGTACAGTTCTAAATGTCTCATATACCGTCGCGTACACCGCCGGGCCGATGGTTCGACCTAGCTTGAAGCACTTGGCTAGATGGGCCCGGTAGCTCGAAATTTTCGGGCCGCGGCTGTATCACCTCAAGACCAATGATCTTTCTCAAACTTGGTGTATTTTGGTGTTCAGGCTTCTGCGTCACTGCGGATTATCAGTGCAGTATTGGTATTGGCTGGTTTAGCACACTGATGTGCACGATGCAAACCCATGACCTATCAACTCTCTTGGATATAAAGGTGTGCAAACCTCGGCGAGAGTCTCAGACCCTGATTGAGCTTCACCTCGAGTTTCTTCAGGGCTCTGGAGCCCAAGTCAAGCTTCAATACGCACCTAAGTGCTGCGCGGAGCAATCGCCACACCCCACACCATCTGCCGACAGTAGCCTCTTTAACGCAGGTCTATGGCCCTTTTCGGATGGGCCGACTTCGTGCCGAGCGGCTTAGCGACGGTCGTGGGCGGGGCTTGGCCTCTGGTGCTGATGTCGAGGCCATGGCGGCATGCCGGGAATGCTTCGTGGATGCTTTGTGGGGGGCACGGCAGTCTGGTCGCGAAGATGTTTCAAAGAAGGTGCAAGTTGCTGAATTCCACATATGGTGTGGAGGACCCCGAAAAAGAGTGGCTCTACCTACACGAACAAAGCAAAGGGAGTGTTTGAAGCGGCTGAGTCGCGGGCAGAGCGTGCACACAACACTCCTGCAAAAGTACTTCGCACCTTAAACTCCACGACCTAAGCCCTAAGGAGCTCTGTAGGACCGATAGAGAATGGGGATAATGGGGGCCTTTTCCACCAACCCGGCAGGCGCAGGAGGCCGTCTGCGCGGGACAGCCTCCGCTCTCCATCCTCCAGTACAGCGACTCCCAGAGTCTCTGCACCTGGGCCACCACTGTAGGGGCTTTTGTTATAACTGCCTATACTATCTTGGGAGTTCTTCTATTACAGTTACAGTCTGTTACATCTGTTACATTATACTATTTGGGGGGCTCCTTATTATAGTTATGATCCGTAGAAGCACTCGTACTCTCTTTCCCAAGAGCATGACCTGGGTCGTGGGCGTAGCATCTAAGGCGAGGTCTGTGCCCACTGCCACCGTTTCTGCGGAAGCCTGGCAACTGCGCTCCGGCGCTGCCTGGAAGCAGCCAAGGCAGGGACTTTGGAGGACCATCTGCCGGATCCCCAGCTCATCGCTGATTTGGAAGGCCCTGAGTGGCAGATCCGGGGGCGAGTGCCCTGTGAGAATGGCTGCGGGGCTGTTTTCTGCAGCGAGGAGTGTGCAGAGGCAGGTCGGCGTGAAGGCTGGCACCGGATACTCTGCGTGGACCTGACGGAAAAGCAGCGGCAGGTCTGGAAGTGCTTCCAGCAGTACTCCGTGAAGTACCATGAGCAATTCATTGCCGCTGCCAGAGTCATCGCCGAAATCATCTCCCTGGTGAAATATTCTGGTGTGGAGCTGTGGGAGGCCATGGCTTACTTTAGCCGCTTCATGAAGATGTCCTGGCTGAACATGCAGAACGTGCCTTCCATGTCTACCTGCCAGGCACGGGCCCCCCACTCAGGAGCCCATCCAGAACCAAGCAAAGCCACATCCGTAAGCCCCCTAAGAAGCCCTAAGCAACCCTCAGCCCTAAGGCCTTAAGCCCTTAAACCCCGCTGAAAACGCAACCCGCCCCGTGGCCGGCCCAAGAAACGCCCAAAGCGCCCTACGAGAGGCGGGGCCAATGCGTGGCAAGTTGGCGGCCCTCGCGCAGGGAAGGAGGGAGCGACGGCAGCAGGCCCGCTTCCTCAGTCACGCCATAAATATGTAAGTAAATAGAGAAGTACATAAATACATCTACATATAATTACATATGTTATTAAGATGTAGTGTAATGTAATGTAATACAACATAAAATATCATGTCATATATATATATAGATACATATATGTGTATAGTAGTACAATGTGATATAACAATGTGATATAATCAAGCATAGTGTAGTATGATAGAATATAGTATCACACTATAAGCATAAAAACAAAACATTATACGAGATGCCAGAATACAACAGATAAATAAACAAAAACGAAGCGCCTACATGAAAAGAGGCATATGTAAGTAAATAAACCGATAAGAAAAAAGCAAAAGCAAAGAAGGTACTAAAAACAAGAATATATTGATACGAAAACACACACACATATATATATATATGTATATATATGTATATACATACACACATATTTGT